AGAACTGATAAAAAACTGCCAGATAAAAGAAAATCGATTAAAAAAACCCAATAAAAAAATTCTGAATGAGCGTTGGTGATAGGCCAAAACTGAGAGGTAAAAGAATTCATGGAAAAGAGATTTGACACAAAAAAAAAAAAACAAAACCCCAAACCCAAAGCCGGCGTAAAACTCAAGAGACGGGAAAAAAAAAAACTGATTAAAACATCCTGATATTAAAAAAAAAATAATAAAAAAATAAAATAAAAAATACTAAATAAATAATTTAAAAAGCCACTCAACTGACTTATTGCTCCAAGGCCTGACACGCCGAGGTGGACTGATTTTTTTTTTTTTTTTTTTTTTTTTTTTTTTTTTTTTTTTTTTTTTTTTTTTCCCGGGGCGGTTTTTTTTTTGTGACGTCACGGTGACGTCACGGTGACGTCACACCCGCAGAAAGTGCGTCACAGCAAGCTGGCCGAGGCAGTGGAGAAGGCCATCGAGGAGAAGAAGTTCCTGGCCGGGGCCGACCCCTCGGCCGTGGAGATGTGCTACCCCCCCATCATCCAGAGCGGGGGCAACTACAACCTCAAATTCAGCGTGGTCAGGTGAGGGACCCCCATTTCTGCAGCCCTCACCCCTGGTTTTACTCATTTCTCACCATATTTTTATTTATTTCCTCGTTTTTCCCCGTTTTTCACAATTATTCATCGCTTTTTTTTCTCATTTCTCGCCCCGTTTTTACCCTTTTTTGTCCGTTTCTCTCCCCGTTTTTCCCAATTTTTCACCCTGTTTTTTCTTGCTTCCCCGTTTCTCACCACGTTTTTCCTTATTTCTGTTTCTCACCCCATTTTTCCCCATTTCTCACCCAATTTTTACCCTTTTTCCCCATTTCTCTCCCCGGTTTTAACTATTTCCTCATTTCTCACCACATTTTTCTTTATTTCCCCATTTATCTCTCCGTTTTTCCCCATTTATCACCCCATTTTTCCCCATTTCTCCCCTGTTTTTACCTATTTCCCCATTCTTCACCACATTTTTCTTTATTTCCCTGTTTCTCATCCCATTTTTCCCCCCCACTTTTACCTTTTCCTCATTTTTTTCCATTTCCCCCTTTTTACTTTTTTTCCCCCATTTCTCCCCCCGTTTTTACCCTTTTTCCCATTTCTCACCCCGTTTTTCCCAATTTTCCCATATCTCCTCCCATTTTTCCCCTTTTCTCCCCATATTTTTCCCCTTTTTCCCCATTTCTCCCCCATTTTTCCCCTTTTTCTCCCTTTATCCCCCCATTTTTTCTCCTTTTT